GCATTGATGACGTGTTGTTATCCATCAGCTGTTGAGGACAGCGCAAACACTGCACCTATGAAATCACAGTGAGATCAGTGTGTGATTTATTCTTCCTGTGTTTATTCGGAGGGGACCGTAAACCTGGCCATCCATTGTATTAATGACAAGGCTCCATCATATCTTAAAGACCTCATAGAGCCCTACCATCCCAACTGAGCACTTCACTCTCAAAGTCTAAGTTTATTTGTAGTTCCTAGAGTCCACAGAAGTACAATGGGTACCAACACTGGTATCAACAGAGAAATGGAGAAGCTCCTAAACTCCTCATTTACCTGGCGAGCACTCGAGCATCAGGGACTCCAAGTCGTTTTACAGGCAGTGGATCAAACTCTGACTTCACTCTGACCATCAGTGGAGTCCAGGCTGAAGATGCAGCAGTTTACTACTGTCAGAGTTTCCATGTTATCAACAGTCAGTATGTGTTAACACAGTAAAAAAGAGGCATACAAAAACCTCCCTCAGTCAGACTGATCAGAAACTGAACTGACTGCTGCAGCTGGAAGCTACTGCACAGACTGATACACTGAGGAGACACCAGTAGTTATTAAAACAATATATAGGTCAATCACTATACATTACAATGTGTATATATATATATAAAAACAAAAACACTTACAAGGAGTCATTAGACATAGCTAAGTTATTTCCCCATAACTCTTTACTTTGGTTACTTCTTTCTGGAAATTCACATGATCATAAAGTCAGATTGTATACCAATGACATCCTGTTATACATCACAAAATGCATCCCCCTTTTAAGTTAAGAATCAGATCACAACTTAAAACAGGCTGCCCAGCTTCTCACTCTGTTTAGAATTGAACAAACTGAGAAAAGTAGTTGACTTTCAAATATGTCCTTGATGTTAAAGTAAATACAGATCATTTTGAAAGTTGGAATAACTTTTCTTTGTGTCTGAATTGATTTTCTTCTCTTGTCCTAACTGTGCAGGCATTTTTATGCCACCATTACATAACACTGTGTGGTGGTTGTCTGTCTCTAAGTGTTTACCCTGTGATAGACTGGCGACTTGTTCAGGGTGGACCCCGCCTCTTGCTCTGTACCAGCTGGGATTGGCTCCAGCCCCCCCTTAGCCAAGTATGTTACACACACAAGGAATTTGTTTCCGGTACAGAACCGAGGCAGCCATCTGCGGCGCCAACTCAACCGATGGCTCTAACCACCAGGAGCAGCGGGGGGTTCAATGTCTTGCCCAAGGACACTTCGACATGTCGACTGCAGGCACCGAGATTTGAACGACCCTTGACCCTTGAACCTTCTGGATGGGAAACGACTGCTCTACCCACCGCACTGACCCCCCCCCATTCAGGATAAGCAGTATAGATAATGTATGTTTGGATAGAAATATGAAAGTATTAATGTTGCTAAAACTACTGTTCAGTCTGTGGATTGAGATAAAGATGACTTCAACATGCTGTATCATCCTTCATTGTTATTGCCTACAGTTATAAGGTACAACCACTTTTGTTGCAACCACAAAAACTCTGATTTTAGCAAAAGAGATACTACCAATCAGCAAGTTACATATTTAATATTAATCAAATATTTTAATCATATTTTCTCTAGAAAATCTTGGCCTCTGTTCTTTTCTAGCACTTCAGTAATAACTTGTAAATTTTAAATAAATATCTGTTAAACTAAACACATCCACGGAAACACTGTTGATTTGAAGACAAACTTTATTATCTAAAAATGTTGACAGTGTCAGTGTCATTATGAGCAGGAAATTATCGCTATGCAAATCTTTTACTCTGAAAAGACAGAGACAGTGTCACAGAGGTCAGACTGAGAGCAGTAGCAGAGTAAAACCATTAGCAGATTCCCAGTGAGTCAGATGAGTAGTGGGAACACTGGTCTGTCCTCAGAGTCTCTGATACCGGAGTCTGGGAGTCCTGTCCAGGCCAGACTCCAGTCTGAGGGGAAGCCCTTGTTGGCCAGACACATGAGCGTGGCCTTCCCCTGCTGCAGCTCCAAGTTGGAGGGGGCCAGCACCATCAGGGTGGGACGGGCATCACCTAGGAGACACCAATCAGCTTAGAGGACAGAGACCACACAGCTGGCAATCAAACAGCAGACACCTGGACACCTTTACTGTGTGAGAGTGGATTTTGTCCTTTAAGGAGTTTCTGTCAGATGGTGTTTCTGCTCCACCAGTCACTCACTCACACATTGTTTCACTTCCCTCTGAGAAGCTGCTCATGCACATCAGCACTGACACAATCATCACAGTTTCAACTTTCTTAACTGAATCAAGTTTCTTAACTACACATTATTTTAAAACATTTGGTGGAAACAGAAATAAAAAGAAAAAAATTGATGATAATCATCAGGAACCTCTTCAAGTCATTTAAAAACCATAAACAATATACAGCACGTTACAACAAGAAGCAATATGGCAACAATTTCATTTTTCAATGAGTCACTAAATTCTATTCTATGTTGTTACAGCTGTTTTTATGGTGGTAGAAAATTTAAAATTCATCTTTAGAAACATTTTCAAAATTTGATTGAAAGTTTTTTTCACACTTTATATCTTAGCACGACAAAAGAAGTTTAGCAAAGCTGCTCTGAGGTCATTCCATTGTTGAAATGATGAAAAGAAACTATAGATAAAAGTGTTGTAAATAAAAATAAATAGGAATTTAACTGCTGCAGACAATTAAAAGCCTAATAAAAATATTATTTTGCAACATTGTACAGTATTTAGTTGTGCTGAAACTTACTTCCAACCTCCAGTCTGGTTCCTCCACCAAAAGTCCACCACAGTGATACAAACTGTCAGACTGAACTAAACCTACAAGCACTAAAATGCAACTTTACCAATAAATTTGGAAACAATGATTTATCCTCTACCTCATTATTTTAGTCATTACAATGTTCCTTTGTTGTTTTTGTTCTGTTTTAATAAATAAAGATGTATTTCTTACTTTCTACAAACTACTACATAAGAACTTAACACAAAAACTGTATATCTGTTAAAAATAGTGTAATTTAAATACACAAGAAAACAACTCATGAAAAAAAGAAATATTTGACTTACTTCCAACCTCCAGTCTGGTTCCTCCACCGAACGTGTACCACAGTGATACAAACTCACTGAATCGTCGTACAAAAACTTCTGACTGCAGAGACACGGCTCTGTGAGTCTGAAACAAACAAACTCAGCAAACTTAATGTGTTTGTAAAAACCACTTTCTGATAATAGCAAAAACAAAGATGACTTCAACAGTTTCAAATTCTCAAAATATATTTATTGTATATATATATCATGTATTGTATATACAGTATCAGATATCATTTGTCATTTATCATTTTCTTACTGTATGTTTTATTTGAGCCGGTGTGCTTTGTTTTGAGCTAGCGGTGTTTTGATGGATTATAGTCGGTAAAATATTACAAAATATGAATCGTATGCCTGGCACAGCGCCCCCTAGGTGACCTGAGATGTTGCTTTATTGTGCTTTATTGCTTTTGCTGTGTTTATTGTGTGGAAAAATGGTTTATATGACGTTGTAGCCGAGGTTTCGCTGAACATTTTGATGCATACATTGTTGGGGGTCGGCTATCACAACTCGCATAGCATTCCTGTATTTTCCGTTAAGCCCGACAGCCCCCTGTACAGGGGGCTCTCGGGTTGATAGGGTTTTAAGGATTAGAGGAAGCTTTATTCTTATGTTGATAATTTCTAATTTGTTTGAGACCATTTCAGTTATCATAATTGCTATACTTGACTTAATTTACTTGCTATAGTTTTAATTATTTTACTTCATTGTTTATTTCTTTTTTTTTTATTTGTTATATTTATTTCATTTGATTTTAATGTTTGTTAGCTTACTTCCATTTATTCATCATTACTGGTTATACTTGCTCAGTAATGCTGTGAACAAGGCTGACTGAAAATCACCTGTTAAGTGTAAAGAATGACCGAGGGTGACCTTCAACATGGAAGATTGACCGTAAAATGACCCTAGCATCTGAGAGTAAGGCGAGAGTGTTTATCAGTCTGTTATTTGGCTGGCTGCTCAGATTTGAGGCCCACACTGGAAGGCGGCAGGGGGGCACTTGTTGTAACTCGGAGAGGGACAGATAGAAAGAGCCTTTACTGTTTTTAAGAAGTTTAATGTCATTGTCAGAATTATTCATTTGTTGATTTGTTGAACAACTGACAGTACATAGAGGTAGATGCTGGCTTGTTATGGGGGTGCCAGGTTAATGATGTGTAGATGTCATCCTATGACAGGCTAATGTGTTTGCTTGTCACCTTTTGATGAGGTAGACATATTTGTATGACAAAGTGATATGTTGCCTGTAATGTTTTATTACACAAATTATGTTTTTGACATGTTTATGATGTTTGGAAGTGTCATTAAGCAGAGATGTGTCATAAAGGTATTGTGTGCTCACTCTTAGTGTCAGTCATCATGTGGTATGCAGCCATTATGTCACTCATATGTTCATGAGCTGTAGGGTCTTATATAGACAGGTGTGTGGCTTTCCTAATCACGTCCAATCAGTATAATCAAACACAGCTGGACTCAAATGAAGGTGTAGAACCATCTCAGGGATGATCAGAAGAAATGGACAGCACCTAAGTTAAATATATGAGTGTCACAGCAAAGGATCTGAATACTTATGACCATGTGATATTTCAGTTTTTCTTTTTTAATAAATCTGCAAAAATGTCAAAAATTCTGTGTTTTTCTGTCAATATGGGGTGCTGTGTGTACATTAATGAGGAAAAAAATGAACTTAAATGATTTTAGCATATGGCTGCAATATAACAAAGAGTGAAAAATTTAAGGGGGTCTGAATACTTTCCGTACCCACTGTATATACTGAGGTAGTTACCTCCTAAATCTACTATTTTACTTATCATTACAGTCTTCTTAGGTGCTGGGAATCCATCTCAGCCCTAAAACTACAGGACCGGATGACATATACAGTACATGTACTGTATGTTATGTTTAGTTAGATGTAAGATATGAATGGACAGATTGGAGAGTAGGTGAGCTAAAGGAAAGTCAGGGGTGAGCAGGGGTGAGGTGAGAGGCATACCGTCATTACATTGACTTTATTTCTGTCAAAGATGCAAAGAACATTATTGTCCTTTGTGAAATCTGTCTGAACAGCAAAATGCTTTGAATTGTAAAAAAAAAAAAAAAAAAAAAAAAATTTATTTCAACTTTATTAAATGTCAGGGT